GAAAGGAAAGCCCAGAGGAGCTCTCACCACCTGTTTGGATGCCAAGCAGGGGCCTGCAGCCACAGCAGGGTCCAGCTATGGCCATCTTTCAAGGTGAGATGCACAAACTGCTTCTCTGAACCCTCACCCCTAATCAGGACAATACACAATGGTTCCACAAGTGTTCCAGCTCTGTTTCTTCATGGTTTTGTTTGTTTGTTTGTTTGTTTGTTTTGGTTTTTCGAGACAGGGTTTCTCTGTGGCTTTGGAGGCTGTCCTGGAACTCGCTTGGTAGTCCAGGCTGGCCTCGAATTTACAGAGATCCGCCTGCCTCTGCCTCCCGAGTGCTGGGATTAAAGGCGTGCGCCACCAACGCCCGGCCTCATGGTTTATTTTTTATACTTCTATTATTCGAAGGTAATGGCATAAAACACTGGACCAGGTGTACTCCCTTGTGCTGAGTTCTACCTCAGGGTGCTCACAGATGCCCAGCGCCCAGGCTGGTCTCAGGGCTTGGTCATCCTTCAGTGACTGTTTAGTTTCATCACAAATGTAGGGATCACTACATGGAGGGAGTCTGTGGCTGTGCTGAGGTGTGCTAGGTGATCCCTCTCTGAGACTCTAGAATATTTGAGGGTCCATATTGTAGGACTGAACCCTGTATGCCCAGTACTGCTGGGGCGGGGACAGCACAGATTGCCAGGGGTGGCATGGGTACCCTGTCAGCTGTGGGATTCTAAGAGTCTTGGGAGCAGAGTGAGGGTCAGGGTGAGTGGAGCACACAAGAAGCAGAGCTGGAAGCCTGGAGGTGGTGGCACACACATTTAATCCCAGCATTTGAGAAACAGAGGCTTATGGGTCTCTGAGTTCAAGTCCAGCCTGGTCTACAGAGCAAGTTCCAGGACAGTCAGGGTTACACTGTCTCAAAAAAGAAAAAGAAGAGGAAGAGGAGGGGGAAGAATGAGGTATAAGAAGACGAAGAAGAGGCCCATGGCCCTGCGGCACCTCCACCACGTTTTTCCCATGGGCCCTGCCACTGTCGATCTGAAATGCATTATGCCTGCAGGTAGTCAAGTCTCCTTTTATTATTGTCCAAAGTCAGTACTTGATGCCACCAGCTGACAACAAGGCAGGTTAGGTCAAGGGTACTTGGGAACCCAGCTGACTGTCCATGTCTCTCTCTTTATTTAGCTTCTCCCACTGTCAGACAAGTGTAGAAAGTGGCAGACGCTTGGCCCTTGCAGGAAGCTGGGGCACCAAGCTCACTTCCTGAAGCAGGGGTGGATGTGACGAGAGGTACCCACCGCGCCTTCTCCCTACCCTCGATTTATCCAAGGCTGAATCAAGTCTTTCTTTAAAAGTTTAGGCAATTTTTGCTCATAGACTTTGACAGTCATATGACTTTAAAAAGATATTTTATGAAAACATTATTTTTTCTGTCCAGACAGATCACTCTATCTAGCCATGGCTGTCCCAGAACTCACTGTGTAGACCAGGCTGCTCTTGGACTCACAGAACTCCACCTGCCTCTGCCTCCCAAGTGCTGGAATTAAAGGCGTGGCTGGACATGCCTGGCTCTAAAATTAATTTTTATTGTTGTTTTTGGTGCTCCTGCATCTGACATTTCTACAGGGCCATTGTTGATGGGCTAACTGCACTTTGCTTTGTACACTGGAGGTGTGGGTACAGTAAGAAGTAGAAGTGTAGTCATTGGCCATGGCCACCGGCTGAAGGTACCTGGTACTCTTTCAGGGCGTGTTGTATACGTTGCCTAGACTCAGCCCATCCCCATGTCTGAACAGTGACTGTTAGAGCCTCAGATTGTGTTTCGTTTCATGGTTCTTTTGTCTTGTCTTATTTTTGACACTGCCTTACTGTGGAGCCCGGGCTAGTCTGAAATTCTCAATCCTCCTGTTTCTGCCTCCCAAATGTTCAGATTATAAACACACACCGCCGCACCTGGTACTCCTCAGGCTCCTTTGTTTGTTTGTTTGCTTTTATCTTACAGCTCTAAAATATCACCAATACACACAACAGGGCATACAACACACGTGTTCATTGTGTGTGAGAGATGACAGACATTGAACCCAGGATTTAATACATGCTAGGTAAGTAATTACCATTTAGCTACATCTGAAGACTTGTTCAATTCAATAATTAGAGACAATTTTACCACCTCAGGAGGGATCAGAAAATGAAAACATCACTCCTATTTGCAAGCCCCTCCATTATCACTGAGCTTTTCTTCTCCAAAGAAGATGACCACTATTGATTTGGTGATTCCTCCCCCTTTGCCATTGACTTTTTTCTTTTTTTTTTTTTTTTTTTTTTTTTTTGGTTTTTCGAGACAGGGTTTCTCTGTGGCTTTGGAGGCTGTCCTGGAATTCACTTGGTAGTCCAGGCTGGTCTCGAACTCACAGAGATCCGCCTGCCTCTGCCTCCCGAGTGCTGGGATTAAAGGCGTGCGCCACCAACGCCCGGCTGACTTTCTTCTTTTTAAATCCTTTTGGCCAGGGTTTAAGTCCAGGGCCTAAGCAAGCACTATAGCAGTGCCACACCCCTAGGTTCTATCACTCATTTTTTGCAATAAGCAGTACCTTGATTTTCTTTCTGGTTTTACTACCTACATAGGAATCCCTAAGCAAGAATTTACTGCTGAACATGAATAGAAACAGGTCATGGTGTAGGACTGCAATCCTGGCATTCAGCAGGTTAAGTCAGGAGAATTGCTGTGAGTTTGAGGCCATCTTAGGGCTACAGAGTGAGTACCAGGCTAGCCAGACCTACACAGCAAGACACAAACACAGAAATCCCGAGAATAGAACCACATGTTTTTCCTTGTGTTTTTGTTATGCTTCTTGTTTTTTTCAAGATAGGGTTTCTCTGTGCAGTCTTGGCTGTCCTGGAACTTGCTCTGTAGACCAGGCTGGCCGCACAAAGATTCATCTGCCGCTGCCTCTTGAGTGCTGGGATTAAAGGCATGCGCCAGCAAAGCTCGGCCAGCCACATGGTTTTGTGTCCATGGTCCCATTCTGAACTACTGCTCTGGTTCACTTTCCCTGCTGTGCAGTACAAGAACTTCCGCTCATACTGGGAACCACAGGCGGGTACAGCAGGGTCTCACAGGCTAGGCAGCTGCGACATTTCTTAAAGTCCTGGTACAGGTGCTCTGGAGTTTCTTACAGGCACAGTCCTAAGAATGGAATTGATGGCTCACCGGGTGTGTCGGTTTTGCAAAATAACACTCAGCTGTTTTTCCACAGTGCTCATAGCAATTTACTCCCACCAACTCGGATCAGTTCCGGTTGCTCCATCTGCTCAACACTTGGTATTGTCTGACTTAAGATTTTTGCCAATCAGTTAGGCATTAATGGCACTTGTTTTTCTCATTCCTAATGATAATGAACCCTTTTCATGTACTATTTTAAAAACCTCCGTTTCAGATTTTCTACCAAGTTCCCTATTATGTTGTCCTCTTTTCTTTTTGCAATACTAGGCTTTGAATCCAGGGCCTCATGAACGCTAGGCATTCTACCACAAAACTACACCCCCAGCCCGTGTCCCCTTTTCTCTCATGTGCTGGGGGGCGGGGTGATTCCTTTGAAGGTCAGGCATCCTCCTCTATCATTCTCCACTCCACTTATTGAGACGGTTTCTCACTGGACCTAGAACTGATTGTCCAGTGAACTCCTTCAATTCTCTGCTCTGTAACAATGGTGATGGTGTTATGGGAATGTGCAGCCATTTCTGTTTTTATGTGGGTGCTATGGATTTGAACTCAGGTTCTCTTGCTTTACTCTCTGAGCCATCTCCACAGACCGATTTCTTTTGGAGATAAAATCTCATGAACCCTAGGCTGGCCTGGAACTTGCTTTGTAGCCAAGAATGACCTTGAACTTCAGGTCCTCTCATGTGCGAGCTATGATTACAGAGGTGTATACCACCACACTCTGCCAACTGAGCCATATCTCAGACATTTTCCTCACAGCAGCTATAGTATGTATTCTGGGTGAGGATTTTATCAATAAAAATGCTCTCACCCTCTCTGTGCCCATCCCTTTACTCAGGTTTTAGATTAAGATTCTAGTATTAATGCAGACCATTTTATTAACATTCTCTTCATTGAGACCATGAAAATTTTCTCATGCTACGTCCAGTCCTGTACTGTCATCCTTGCTTTCCTGGACAGTAAACATGCAGAAAAGCATTTCATTTGCCCTATAAGCAAGTCACTGCTCAGTGATGTCTTCTATTGGAGGAATGAACACCAAGCAGGTTGAGTGTTAAAACATTGTATCTGGCCAGGCGGTGGTGGCGCACGCCTTTAATCCCAGCACTGGGAGTTCGGGACCAGGCTGGTCTACAAGAGCTAGTTCCAGGACAGGCTCCAAAGCCAGAGAAACCCTGTCTTGAATCCCCCACCCCCCAAAAGGAACACAGTCTCCCAAATGGGCAAATTAGCTTTTCTGAGAGCAAAATTTCTTCATCTCTTCAAAATAAAATAAAATGATGAAAAATGCTTACAAAGATGTTAGTTTCAGGTCAGTTCACAATGAGCTTGAAAACAACAGAACTGGAATTTAGTTTTAAGTTTAACTATTTCCTTTTATGACTATGATAGCTGGGCAGTCCCACCCATTCTTCCCAGAGGCTACAAGAGCACATGACATGATGACTGGCAGGTGAACTCTTACCCACATCCTATACACCCTCTTCCTGGTACCCGACTCCCACTAACTTTTCCACCAGGTGCTGCCTGGACCAATGTTGACATCTGGAAGCCTACAGCCTACCTAGCTCCCAGGAAGAAATAAACCCACAGTCTGTCCCACACTATTTAGGAATTGGGACACCTAGGGCACCTGCCCAAGGCCCACATGGCTAGGGTGGCTCCCTTTTGGGAGGGGAAAAGGAAGCCACCAGTTTCGGTCTGCACTGATAAGGAATAAGGTAGAGGAGTTCAGTCCCTGGGGAAGACATAACTCTCAGCCCACCTGCTTTCCAACACAGAACACCAACCATGAAGGCCACTGACTTTATTATTCTAAAAATCTTTATAAGGATGTGACTGTTTTTGTCAAAAAAGAAAAAAAAAGAGCCAAAGGACATCCAACAGATTGTGAATGGAGGGAGAAAGGGGCCAGGAACCCATTCGGGAAAGTTAACTGTTGCCATGGAGCTGCAGGGGGAGGAGGGGCGAGGCATGCAAGGGCGAGGATTCTAAAAAGGCTGCATGCTGAGGGGAGAACTCCCAAGAGACCCTGGAGGACGCAGGAAGTGAGCGTGACAACAGTAATCTTTTCCTTCATGGAGGGCAGGGAGGAGCCCCGCCAGGCTTCAGACTCTGGAGACTCAATTCTGTGGCTGGGGGCTGAGGAGTCCCAGAGTACACTACAAGAAGGCATCACACCATTCTCGAAGGCACCCAAAGCAGTCCCGGGACTGCTTGGCATTGGCACCACACGTGTCTTTCAGCCATTCTCGGAAGAGGTCTTCATCTTTCTTTAGCACCAGAAACTGGCCAAGGACCACATAAGCCTGTGAAAAAGGAAAGGGAATACAGCTAAGTGCCTTGTGAGCTAAGAGCAACAAGACTATGTGGTATCACCTTGAAGGGGCCGGATCTCTGAAGCTAGGTAAGTACTTGAGAAGGCAGGGCTACTTTAGTTTTGCTTGTTTTGTGTAAGACAGGGTCTTGCTTTGTTGCTGGACTGGCACTAAACTCGATGAGAACCCTCTTGCCGCAGCCCCCGAGTGCTGGGTCACGGGCAGGGCCACTAGGCCTCACTTTCATGGCACTGAAAACACACTAAGGGCAGGGCACAGTGGGGCACACCTTTAATCCCAGCACTTGTGAGACAGAGGTCCTGTCTCCAAAACACAACAAACCAACACAACAAAACTGACTTTGCCTCCCTAGGTGCCCCCAACCACTTCGTGCCTCCCCGTGCCCCTGCTTTTCCTAACTCCCCGTTTCCTGCTTGGAAACACCTGTTGCCAACTTTCACTCCCGCCCTCCCTGGCATTTGTGACCGCCCCACACCTTGTCAAAGCCCCTTTCCTCCAGCTTCTTGCCCAGGACTTCACCAATCCCGGCCAGGCTCCCCACTGGCTTTTCCCCCATGGGCTCTGCCACGAAGTCACGGTGCTTTTGGGAGGTTGTCATCTTGATCAGGTTTAACCTGGGAATCCCAAAAAAAGGCAGGTTAGGGCTGAAGACCACACTCCAAGGGCAATCTCCTAGGTCAGCTATTGTGGCTGCTTCCTCGACTGCCTCCTCTCACACATGAGAAAACTGAGGGTCAGGGAAGGTCTTTCTCCCTACTACATTCGGAAATCGCCACTTTCCTGGGTTTCGGGACTGAGCCGATGGAAATACCAGCTTGCACTAACAGGTGGCGCACGTAAAGATTCCAAGTCTCGGCAGCCAGGAACCGCCCTGAAGCTGTCACTCTTGGTGACCTTGGCTAGGGAGACACTGACCCCGACGAGAGCTACCACGTGGTAGAAACAGCAAAAAAGAGGGTCTCGGTACCCTCGCCGCCCTCCAGAAGCCAACAAGCGCCACGCTCCTGCTCCCGCAGCCCTCCGAAGCTCACGCCTCGCGGGTCCCCCAGGCCCCGCCCCAAACGCGCCGCCCCGCCTCCTCCACGCGCCGCCGCTCGTACGCGCCGCGCACCGCCCCAGCCGCAGGGCCGGGCTGCTCCGCTGCAGAGGCGCGCCTCCGCGGTGAGTGCGCCTCTCCCTCCCGCCTCCGCCGCCCAGCCGGAGCCCTGCTTCGCTGCTCACGCTCACCAGCTGCTCCGGCCCTGGTAACGGCTCCTCGCGCCACTCGGCCGCTCCCGCCGGTACCTCAAGCTACTAGAACGTTCTTCAACTTCCGCTTCCGGGTCGTGTCAGGAGCCGCCTTCAAAGAAACAATATCCAAATTGGGCACGTCTAGCCACAGAGAGCCATAGAGTCGAGGCGCAACCGCTAGCTGCGGCGCCCACAATAGTCGCTGTTTTCCGGTCCCTCGCAGGAAGCCGCGCTGCTTTCTATGGTCTTGTTTCTCCGGCCCCGCTTCCCATCTGTGAGACCGAGGCCTCCGAAGAGAACCTTAGTCTTTTTCCTGCCCAGCACCTGGAACTTAGAGACTTGTATTGCCTGACATGGTCGAGGGAAGACTTAAAGGAACGGACAAAGAAGGGGCGGGGCATCCGGAGGGCTAATGAGAGCCCCGGAAGCGCAGTTCTCGCGGGTTCCTCACTCAGTCTATCTGAAGCCGGCTGAGGGAAGCTGGGGGCACCGGAGGTCTGAGGCCAGGCGTCCAAACCGGCGCGACCTTCGTGACCACCTGCAAGCCGCATTTCTTTGCTTTTGTTGACTCGGTCTTGAAGTGAGTCGTAGAGGAGCTGCTTTCAGCGTCAACCTGGAAAACGTAGCTTGCTTGTGTAACGCCGAGCGGGTGAGTGCTGTGGGGTGGTGGTTCTTTTCTCGAAGGGTCTTTCGGCTTGAAGCGCCGCGATGTCGCCGAGTCAGTCTACACCATGAGTGTTAGTAGGGCGAGCATCTGTTGTATGGCTGCCGTAGACTTGGGGGTGGTGAAGCATGTAGAGGAAAGTAGTTTATCTCAAACTTCCCCAAAGAGGTTGTCAGCCCGGGCGGTGGTGGCGCACGCCTTTAGTGCCAGCACTCAGGAGGCAGAGACAGGCGGATCTCTATGAGTTCGAGATCAAACTGATCTGCAGAGCGCGTCCCAGGACAGCCAAGACTACACAGAGAAACCCTGTCTCGAAAAAGAAAACAAAAAGTTGTCAGAATGATCGGCCTGGCCGGGCGGTGGTGGCGCACGCCTTTAATCCCAGCACTCGGGAGGCAGAGGCAGGCGGATCTCTGTGAGTTCGAGGCCAGCCTGGTCTACAGAGTGAGTTCCAGGACAGCTTCCAAAGCTGCATAGAGAAACCCTGTTTCGAAAAAAAAAAAAAAGAATGATCGGCCTGGGAGGTGCATATGGTTTTATCGTCACATCAGTAAGTATAACAGGAGTAGATCTCATTTTATTTACTTCTTTCTTGTTTGTTATCGAGAGGACATCTTACTACCTAGGCCAGACTGACCTCCATCTTTCAGAGCTCTGCTTGCCGTCTATGGTTTGGGATTAGCGTTTTGAGATTAAAGGCTTGAGCCACCCACACTCTCCCAACTAAGACTTTTTTTTTTGTTTTGTTTTTAAGATTTACTCTGTATGTGGGTGTTGCAAGTGTCCTTGGTGGCCAGAAGAGGGCATTGGATTCCCCTAGAACTGGAGTTAGAGATGGTTGTGAGTCAACCGATGTGGGTGCTGGGTCCTGAGACATCTCTCCCACCCTTAAACGTCATGTTTGCTTCCTTTTGAGACAGGGTCTCACTATGTAACCAGACTGACCTAGAACTCAACAAATATCTGCCTGCCTCTGCATACCAAGTGCTAGGAATAAAGGCATACACCAGCATCTGGCTAAAGCTTGTGTGTTTTTGTTGTTGTTTTGGTTTTTCGAGACAGGGTTTCTCTGTGTTTTGGAGCCTGTCTTGGAACCCGCTCTGTAGACCAAGCTGGTCTCTTTGAACTCACAGAGAACCCCTGCCTAGGCCTCCTGGGTGCTGGGATTAAAGGCATGCGCCACCACCTGGTAAACTTGTGTTTTGTCTTTTAATGATTTTATTTTTTTATATTTATCAGTGTTTTTACCTGTATGTGTGTCTCAAAAAGAGGGTATTGGAGTCAGGGTCAGTTGGAACCCTGTGTGAGTGCTGGAAACCATACCTGTATTCTCTACAAGACCAGCAAGTCTACCAGTCCTGTAAAGCTCGTGTTTTTAACAGGGCAAGGTGGCACTTTCTCGTATACGGCTGCTTCTCCTGAGAGCAGTCCTGGCTTCTAAGACTGCTATCCACATAACTCTGGAAGAAGAGCTGACAGTCTCGGCATCCTAACAACCCTGGACAGAGCCCAGCATGTCTCAGGCCACCAAGAGAAAGCATGTGGTGCAGGAGGTATTGGGAGAGCACATGGTGCCCTCGGACCAACAGCAGATAGTAAAGGTAGGGAGATTGGTCTGAGCTTTTCTCTACTCCCATTGGACCCCTGGGGTGTGGGAAGGGCTCAGTGCAGGTCAGTGTGTGCTTGATCTAACTGATAAAGTGCCTAATTCTTGGTCTTTCCTGGACCAGGTCCTTAGGACTCCGGGGAACAATCTGCATGAGGTAGAGACGGCACAAGGGCAGCGCTTCCTGGTGAGCATGCCCTCCAAATACCGCAAGAACATCTGGATCAAGAGAGGTTAGAAACATCCCTCTACAGTACAGAGCTATGACCTTGATTCTTGATTTTCTCCTTCACATAGGAATGACTTATCTTTTGTCACACACAGGGGACTTCCTCATTGTTGACCCAATTGAAGAGGGAGAAAAAGTGAAGGCTGAGATTTCTTTTGTGCTCTGCAAGAACCATGTCCGTTCTCTGCAGAAGGAGGGGCACTGGTAGGATAATCTCTGGCTGCTGGGGATTAGCATCCTAGCTAGGGAATGGGGTTGAAGGTGTGCCCTCCCAAGAGGAACATTTGGAAATAGCTATTTTGCTGAGAGGTTTCTCTTTGCTCGCTAACCTGGCTCTTCTCTCGTCACAGGCCTGAAGCCTTCTCTGAGGTAGCTGAGAAACAAAACAATATGAACAGGTGAGGAGCAAGCTCCAGCCCGGGGAAGACCAAAATACAATTTCACACCTTGGTGTCTCCAGGAGAAAGGTGATCCTGCTTTTCTCCTGTTGAGAACTCTAACACTAGAGTGGATAGTTATGGGTATGGCTTAAAGGCCAATGCTCCAAGTTAAAATGCTGGCTTTGTTACTTAATAGGCAAGTGCCTTTAGGTACATTATTTAATGTCTTCAGATAGATTCTTAACTGGGTGTGGTAGTATATGCCTGTAATGCTGGCAATTACAAGATGGAAGCAGGGGTTTGAAACAGCATTGTGTATATGAATCTGGTTCAAAGTCAGCCTGACAGATCTCTGTGAGTTCGAGTCCAGCCTGGTCTACAAGAGCTAGTTCCAGGACAGCCTACAAAGCCACAGAGACCTTGCCTCAAATCCCCGCCGCGCCCTCCCCCCAAAAAGAAAAGGCCAGCTTGAGCTACATGAAACCTTTTCTCAAAAACAAGAGTTTACCTAAGAGACAGGATTATGCAAAGTAAGAAAGCTAATGCTTATGCAATTGCTTAGTGTGACAGTTCTCATCTGGGGGTCTCAATCCCTTTGGGGGATCGAATATCAGATATCTACATCAGGATTCATAACAGTAGCAAAATAGCAGTTACTGAGTAACAATGAAATAATTTTGTGGTTGGGGTCACCGCCACATGAGGAACTGTGTTAAAGGGTTGAAGTGTTAAGGTTTGTGAACCTCTGGCTTAGTGCACCAGCTGTTAGGAAGTGTGAGCTCACTGTGTGTCAGTGATGCTAGTAGAGTTGTTGGTTCCTTAACTGAAACCAGTGATGGGGTGGGTAGGAGGTAATCCTTAGTGTATTTTCTTTGCTTGGGATTCCCTATTTGCTCTCTTTTTCAAAAGCCCCTCTTGTTTTTTATGTGTTGATTCAGGGTCTCATGTAGCCCAGGCTGTCCTCAAACTCATCGTCCTCTGCCTCAGCCTTCTAAATACCAGGCATGGGCCACCACATCAGGGTTTGGGGCTCCTGGATTCTCAGAAACCTCTTGGTTTAGTTGATGGTCCTGATTTTTTGTGACTCTGGATTATAGATGTGGTTTTCCAGAAGATGTTACTTATTCTGTCCTCTTGCTCACACAGACAGAGTCAGCCAGAACTCCCCGCTGAACCACAGCTGTCAGGAGATGAGTCAGGCTCTGAAGATGACTCTGACCTCTTTGTCAACACCAATCACAGACAATATCATGAGAGTGAGGAGGAGAGTGAAGAGGAGGAGGAGGAGGAGGCAGCCTGAGCCCGATGGAGCCACTTCTCTACTTGCTCAGGGACTGCCCCTTGGCTTTTCTGGGCTTGGACATTCCCAGGGTGCCCTGCAGATCTTTTCTTTTGAATGGACACAAGGCGTGGCCCCTTTCTGAACTGACCTAGAAGAATTAAACCCCTGGTGGGTGATGACTTACTCTGGTGTCTGAGTGGCTCTCTGTGTGAGGGGAAGCTCACGGTGAAATGAAGCCTTCTTTTTTGGTGGAGGCCTTGGTCACCTCTGGGTAGAATGGGAAGGAAATGGAGTTTGGCTGGAATTTGTGGGGTGTACTTGTTCACAGTACCTCACTCTGCTGTGCCTCCGTAACTGACAACAGTCCTACTGCATTATCTGCATACATTCAGTAGTGATTCCAATAGTTAGGGTTACAACATAGGACCCAGTACCCATCTGCCTCTACAGCTCAGGACAAATCCCATGGTGCCTTGTGAGCTGCTTCCCTTCCTTCCTGGTTACCTTGTCCTGCAATAGTATTTACTATCTGCTGCCATATAAATAACACCCTGTGTATCTCTCTCTTTACCTTAGCCCCGTCATCTCCAGAATGTGTCCATGGTCAGGATACCCCTCTCCTTACCATCTCCCGATTTTCTTTGAATTTTGCTAATCTCTTTAGGATATTACCTTTCCTAAAATCTTTTCTTGAGATGGTCTCAGTAACCCAGAAATCACTGTGTAGCCTAGGCTAACCAATTCAATGGCTGTCGTGCCTCAACCCCCAAGAGTTGGGATCACAGGTATGAGCCACTGTTCCTGGCTGGCTACTAACCTTTTATTAAAGGCTGGTGTAACAACCTCATCCCTTGTACCTCAGCGTCCAAAGGTTTATTATGATTCAGACCTTTGCTCATGATGGCCTGCTTTCATTTACTTATTTTAAGATAGTTCTTCCCATTATTTAAAAGATCCTTCAATGGCCTAAGTACTCACTAAACTATGCAAGCTTCTATGAACTATGTCCTGTCTCTCTTTGAGAGGCTTTTGCTTCTGGTTCTACACTGCTAGCATTAGCCCAGCCACTGGTAGATCCTGAAGATTGGCCTCCCAGCTTAGTCTTTCCTCTGCGGGTCATTTCCTGCATCCCACAGTAGAGCTGTTCAACCCTGTTGCCAACTCCTAATGTGGTTGTGTGTTAATTTTTTAATTTTATTTTTTGGATTTTTCAAGTCAGTTTCTCTGTGCAGCTTTGTAGACCAGGCTGGCCTTGAACTCCCAGAGATCTGCCTGCCTCTGCCTCCCTAGTGCTAGGCTGCTTGTTTGTTTATTTTTGTTTGAGCTAATGGGACTTCTACTTTGGAGTCTTCCTTTTGCTTTCTGGGGCATTTTGCTTTTCTGTTGTGGATTGATAGTTGGTTTCGGTGGGTGGTCATTACGGGAGGTATATTTAGCCTCAGACACACTATATAGACTCTCATTTCTGAACAGGAAATCTGGTATCTGGTGATCATGCCTTCCCCGGCTCTCATTTATCCATTCTTCATGTTTGTTTTTTGTGACACTAAATGTATCTTTGTGTATATATAGATGTATGTACGTGGAAAAATAAACCAGATGGGTTAAAGATAAATCTATCTTTAACTTCTCTGAAATTTTTTTTAAATATTTTATTCATTTATTATGTATATAATGTTATGCCTGCATATATCCCTGCACACCAGAAGAGGGCACCAGATCTCATTACAGATGGTTGTGAGCCACCATGTGGTTGCTGGGAATTGAACTCAGGACCTCTGGGAGAGCAGCCAATGCTCTTAACCTCTGAGTCATCTCTCCAGCTCCCAACTTCTCTGAAATTTTTAATGAAGAGCTTTTTGGGTTTTTTGTTTGGTACTAAGGACTGAACCTAGGGTCTTTAGCACTTGGCATAGTAGATTGGTGTTCTACTAAACTAACCACAGCTTTTTGAAATCTGTCATTTATGGGAAGGAGACAGCTAACTTTTTAACTAGAGAAAGAGCCACTTGTCCCTAGCTCATCCATTAAAAATGACTTTCTTTCCTCATTGTTAGTGCCTTTTTAAAAATTCATAACCAGAAAGGTATTGTTGGTTCACACCTTGACTCCTAATCCCAGTACTTAGGAGATACAGGCAGGCAGATCTCTTGAGTTCTAAGCCAGGCAGAGTTACACAGTGAGATCCTGTTCAAAAAACAGGCATCATGGCACGTGGGAGGCAGAGGCAGTGTATGTATCTCCGTGAGTTAGCTTGATTGACAGAATTCCAGGACTGCCAGGGCTACCTAGAGAAACCCTGTCTTTAAAAAACAGAAACAAAAAAGTATCTCTAATCCTAATTGGGAAGGTAAGAGCAGTGGATCACGACATTACCATGAGGCTGGAATCCATGAGTATATACAAGACTTTGCCTAAAAAACAGACTCCTCTTGGGAGGCAGAGGCAGGAGGATCTCTGTGAGTTCGAGGCCAGCCTGGTCTACAGGGCAAGTTCCAGGACAGCCTCCAAAGCAACAGAGAAACCCTGTCTCCAAAAACCAAAAGAAAAAAAGATTCCTGCACATGCGGGTCTTTTTAGAATTCCAAGTCTGCCCCGAGGTCTTTGTACCTATATGTTTTACAGTACACTTGATATCTCATAGCTCCCGCACTCCACCGTCCTGAGTCCATCTCGTGTTTCCTCATTACATAAGAATTTTAGAATCAACTTGGTTGTTTTCATTTAAAAGTACTCTTTGGCAGGGCCAATGAAATAGCTAAGGCAGGCACTTGCCAAACCTGAGGACCTTATTCAAACTCCAGGGTCCAGCTGGTAGAAGGAGAGAACCAACTCCTGAAAGCTGTCCTCTGACCTCCACACGTGTGCCTAGGCCCCCTACTGTTGCCATAGCTCTGAGGTAAACATACATCACCATGTCATATTTTGTGAGTGCAGGGGATCTAATCTGAGACTTTGTTCATCCTAGACAAGCACTCTGCCAACTAGCATAGGGGTTTTTTTGTTTGTTTTTAGTTTTTTGAGACGGTCTCTACATAGCCCTGGCTGTCCTGTAATTCTCTATGTAGATGAGGCTGGCCTCCAACTTACAGAGATCTGCCTACCTTTGCCTCCTGAGTCCTGAGATTAAAGGCATGTACACCATGCCAACTATTACAGTGTTTGGGTTTTGTTTTGTTTTTTAATGCTTGGTACTAGACATCAACCCAGAGCCTCATGCATTATAGAAAAATGTTCTACCACTACTTTACAACCTCAGCTTCTCTGATATTTTTTGTTCTTTTTTTTTTTTTTTTTTTTGGTTTTTTTTTTATTTGAGACAGGGTTTCTTCGTGGAGCTCTGACCATCCAGGAGCTCATTCTGTAGATCAGGGTTGCCTTGAACTCAGAGCTCTGCCTGCCTCTGCCTTTCCAGTGCTGGGAGCAAAGGTGTGGGCCACCACCCAGCTTTATTTTGTTTTGTTTTGTTTTGAGGCCATCTTGCTATGTAGCCCATGCTAGCCTTGAATCCAAAATAAGGGCCTACCTGCTGAGGAACTTGCTACGTAGATCAGACTATCCATGAACTCGCAGACATCCATCTGCCTCTGCCTCCCAATGTTGAGATTAAAGGCATGTGATAATATGCCTGGTGGTTTGATTTTGTTTGTGGGGGGGTGTTTTGTTTTGTTTGTTTGAAACAGGGTCTATATTCCTGACTGTCCTGGAATTCTCTGTGTATATCAGGCTGGCCTGGAACTCACAGTGATTTATTTACTATTATTTATTTTTTATTTTACTACTTTTTATTTATTTTTATTATGTTTACCCACTGAGCCCTCTTGTGATTTTTTTTTTTTAATTTTGTTCCTGTTGTTTTGAAACAAGGTCTCACTGGCTGGCCCCTAACTCACAGATTTGCCTCCTGTCACTATGGGGGGGGGAGCAGATACATCATCATTAGCAAATCTGAGATAAAAAGAAGGTGTTTGGTACATGCCTATAATCCCAGTATTAAAAGACTGAGGTGGTACCATCCTGAGTTAGAGGCCAGCCAGGGCTACACAGTGACACTATCTCAATAAAAGGAAGGGGAAAGGGAAAGGAAGGGTTATCTTGGCTCAGTTTCAACCTTCCAGTCCCTGGCTGCTTGACTGTGGCCATATTGCTTTGTGCCTGTTATAGTATAGTATATCACAGGGAGCATGGAGCAGACACCTCACCTTGTGACAAGAAAGTAAAGAGAAGACAGGAGACAGATAGGTAGCTCTGAGTTCTAGACCAACATGGCCTAGACAGCAAGTCCAAGACAGCCATAGCTAAAGAGATTCTGTCTCAGAAGAGGAAGAAATGACCAGGATCCCAATCCCTTTCAAAAGCACACCCCCCCCCCCAGGGGCCTCTTCACTAGACTCTTAACTTTTTATTATTTTTATTACTTTAAGACATTTTATCCATGTGTAGTGGTATATGCCTTTAGTCCCAGTATTGTAGGGAGTTAGGGGCAGGGAGGCAGAAGCAGGCAGATCTCTGAGTTTGAGGTCAGCCTAGTCTACAAAGCAAGTTCCAGTACAGCCAAGGCTATGTAGAAAGACCCTGTGGTCTCAGCTTCTCATGTAAGTGACTTCTCTCTCTGTAATAAAGTATACGACTTCCTTTCCAGGTATACTTGGTGTTGCTCGATATCCCTTGTCAATGTCAAATTGTGTGTGTTGGGGGGGCTATGTGTGTATGAGTGCAGGCACACACTGAAGCCAGAGGCATTGTATCCCCAGAGCTGGAATTATAGGCAGTTGTGAGCTGCCAGACCGGGGTGTTGGGAATTGAACTTGGGTCCTCTGGAAGAGCAAGCAGTAAGTGCTCTTAACTGCTGAGCCATCTCTCCAGCCCCTTTTTTTATTTTTTCAATTAAAAACATTTTTTGTTTTTGAGACAGGGTTTCTCTGTAGGTTTGGAGACTATCCTGGAACTTTCTTTGAAAACCAAGCTGGCCTTGAACTCATTGAGATCCACCTGCCTCTGCCTCCTGTGCTGGGATTAAAGGTGTGTGCCACCACCGCCCGGCCCCTTTTTTATGTTGTTCTTTTTCCAATACAATTCCTATATTCCTTTATTGGCCTTTTTATTATTATTTGTGTATATTCAGGCGGGTTTGTGTGGAAGTACGTGAACATGAAGGCAATGCAGTGGGGGCAGAGGGATTC